GACCCTGCAGGGAGCCGGGATCGGTGTCACCCCCCGGGGGGGTTCTGACTCCTTTCCGTGCCGGCTCACAGGAAGGATAAAGAGAAAAGGGGAAGCAGCGGCCTGGGGGGGTTGGTGGTGGGGTTTTGGGGCAAAACACAGTGAGTTTGGTGGCACAGTGACTCCCGTCGCTGCTCGGGGGGTGCCGGGGGTGGGAGCTGCCTCGGGGGCTCCCCGTGTACTGAGTGACATCCTGGTGGGTGCAGGGACTGGAGTCTGCCCTGGGGGACCTGTTGGGTGACCTCGAGGAGGACAGGACGGTGGGAGAGGTGTGGGACAAGAGCAGAAAAAGTCTTTGTCACCCCCAGGCAGGCTCGGGGGGGCAGGACGGGGGTCTGTGTGCGGGGAGGGAGAGGGCAGAGCCCGGGGGAGGAGGAGGGCCGTGGGACGGAGCCGCTGCTTTCGCTTCCCCGTCCTGGCCGGCGCTGACTCTGCTGCCCCCAACGGCACCGAAACCGCCGCGGCTTCCTCTAAACCTCCTCCTTCTGCTGGGACAACCCCTGCTGAGCAATCCCAGGCTGTGCCCCCCTCAGACCCCCTGAAACCCCCGGACCCTGGATCATTGCCCTGGAGCAGCCGTGCCCGTGGTGCTGCCGGGAAGCTCCTGCCCGGGCCCCGTTTGCAGAGCAGTTTGGTACCTCGGAGTTTTCCCTGACAGTTTGGTACCTCGGAGTTTTCCCTGGCAGCAGAGGAGGCCTGGGGGGCTCCAACTCCATGTCCCGGATCCGCAGCAGCTCCCACTGCCCATCCTGGGCTCGCTGGGCTCCGGCCATGGCGCTGCTGGGAATCGCCCTTGAGCAACTCTCTGCACCCCCTCTGTGGGAGGATGTTCTTTCAAAACCTGCTTCTTGCACGTCTAAAGGAAGCTGGAGGTTGGGCCTCACTCCCTGGAGCCCCCAGAGCCCCCCAGGAGCCCCCGCATCACTCCATGTGCTGCCAGTGGAGGCTCCAGTCATGGCCGTGGCTGTTCCGTCACCTTTGGTCCATTCCTGGGGCACTGGATTTGTGTCCCTCAAGCTGCTCGTGGAGCTTCACACTCCTTCATGGATGGCTTTAGGGATGGCTTTGGAGGTGACTTCATGGATGGCAGTTGTGTTGAAAGAGGGATTCCCACCATAAAAACTTTCCAGGTTGCATAATTAATTCCCTTTTCTCCAGGTTGTGTTTTCAAGGTGGAATTGTTTTGTGTTCTTCCATGTTTTTGCTGGGATTTCCTGCAGCTGCTGAACCAGAGGAGCGCAGTCCTTAGAAAACACATTTTTTGATCTCCAGAACATTACAGGTGCTCAGAGAGCATGAATGACCCAGCTAAGCTGCTGGAAAAACTCCTCCCATTGCTGCCTGTCCCCTCTGGGATAAAGTCACATTTTTAACCTTCTAAACCTCAGAATATTTTAATATTTCCTCCCTTCTATTCAGTCTTTGGAATAATGAGTGGCTCACTGATGGCCCTTGTTCGTGGTGCCACTGTGGGGTGGGGGGTGGGTGGAAACCAACTGCAGGGATTTTCCCTGGGAGCAGCGAGGCTGGGATGAGGATTTAGGGGATGAGGATTCCATGAAGAAAGTGGATTTATCCACCGTGTTTTCACTGTTGGAGCCTGACCACACAGCCCTGGGCACCTCTCCAGGGCTCTGGGGGCCGGGATGGGCCTCAGTGGGTGCTGTGAACCTGAAGTAGGAGACCACCCTCCTCCAGGGTTTCTCCCCCATGTCTTTATTTTCCAACCCCCATTTCCCAGCTGACCCCAAGCAAACTTGGAGGTTGTGCCTGTTGGCCCTTGGCCAGGGGCCGTTTCTGTGAAGCCCAGGCCGTGTGTTAGAGCTGATAAAAATCCATGTGGGGGCTGAGTCATCCTTGAATCTGGCACCAGCTCAGGAGGGTGGGCAGGACTCTGGGAGATGCCAGCTTGGATGGTTCCTGCACCATCCACCCCAGGTGGTTGCCAGCACCTTTCCAGGGTGCCCAGGGGCTGCAGCCCACCCTGCCTGGCAGTGAGGCTTGGGTTGGTGCTGCTCCCTCAACACCTCACCCGGGCTAAAATGCTGTAAAAATGAAGAATATAAGTGGAATATTTAAGATCCAGGAGGATTTGGGGCTTATTGATGGTGGTCAGCAAGGGAGTCAGTGTTTGTGTGTCATTTATGTCCATGACAGTGACGCAAACTGCTCTGAGCAGCAGCAAAGCACAGAGTCACAGGATGGGTTAGGTGGGAAAGACCTTAAAGCCCATCTCCTTCTACCCCCTGCCATGGTGCTCCAAGGTGCCCAGGGTGCTCCAAGCCCTATCCAACCTGGCCTTGGACACTTCCAGGGGTGGGGTGAGAATCAGTTCCCACAGAATGGCACTTACCAACCCAAACCATTCCATGATTCTGTGATCATCCAGTTCCTCGTGCTCATGGTGATTCTGCTGGGTTTGACTGAGGGGAAAACCCCATAAAACCCCACAAACCAAGGTATTTTATGAAGCTTATAAAAAATGCTGCTTTCCTTGGCAGCATCTGCCTTCAAAAAACATGGATGAGGATTGAGGGTGACTTACTGGATTTCCCTGTGCAACCTTTGCTGACAAAATAAACCAGGATGGGAAGTGGGGAGCGGAGCATCATCCAACCTGGCCTTGGACACTCCCAGGGATGGGGCAGCCACAGCTTCTCTGGGCAACCTGTGCCAGGACCTCCTCACCCTCACAGGGAACCACAGACTCTTTGATTCCTAAGGAAAATGGTTTCTCTTCCCAGAGGGAAAATAGGACCTTTAAAGGCACCAGCTGGAAAATTGCATTTTCCTAATGGCCTTTATCTTTTGGTGGTTGTTTCCATGACATTATTCCCAACCCATGGCTGCTGTGGAGATGCTCTGTGCCCGGTTCAGGGCAGGTTGGGGTGATCCCTGTGGCACTGCTGGGCTGTGTTGGCACTGAAACCATCTCTCAGCATCTTCCATCCTGGCAGCTCATTCCCAAAAACTGCTGAAGGAGTGAGTCCTAACTCCCAGGGGTGTCCCCGAGGCCACGTTGCCCCCAAACCCTTGGGCACAGGCATGAACTGTAACCCCAACCCTTCACCTCCTGGGCACTCCTGTGCCAGGCAGGACTTTTGTACAAGCAGGAAATGAGCAAAACCCCCCAATTTCCTCTTTTCTCTCCTGCCCAGCCTGTGGGGGCTGCAGCATCCTGCTCATTTTGCAACCAGAACCACCCTCCCTCTGCTCACGAGGTGGGTGCTGGGAGCCTCCCCGGCCCGGGGGAGCAGGGGGGGATGGAATTTTGGGGTGAAGAGGCTGGAACTGGCCCAGGGCCCTTTTCTCCAGCAGATGGAGGCATTGCTTTGCTTCCACCACCCCGCAGCCTCCCAGTGCCAGTCCATGCCGGGAAAGCCGGGACTGGCACGGGAGCAGTGACACGGTGGGATTGGGGGAGGTGCAGCAGCCCCTTTGTGGGGGACACAAGGACAGGGGGGGCCCCAGCCAGGGGCAAGGGACACCGGGGTGGCCTTGGCCTCGTGGGGACGGTGATGGCAACTCAGCCAAGGGCTGGGATGGCCTTGTGTAGGGTCAGGCTGCTCCTGGGGCTGGTGGGACGGGAAAGGGGACCAAGGGGGTCACTTCAGGAGTAGAAGAGGAACCACCTCAGAGTCACAGAATCACAGAATAGGCTGAGTTGGAAGGGACCCACAAGGATCATTGAATCCAACTCCTGGTTCTGCACAGGCCCATCCCCAAGAGTCACACCCTGTGCCCCAGAGGATCAGCTAAACCTTCCTGGAGCTCTGGCAGCCTTGGGGCTGTGCCCACTGCCCTGGGGAGCCTGGGCAGTGCCCAACCAGCCTCTGGGGGAAGAACCTTTGCCTGAGATCCAACCTGACCCTGCCCTGACACAGCTCCAGCCATTCCCTGGGTGCTGTCCCTGGTCCCCCCAGAGCAGAGCTCAGTCCCTGCCCCTCCTCTGCCCCTGCCCAGGCAGTTGGAACTGCAGTGAGGTCTCCCCTCAGTCTCCTCCTTTCCAGCTGAACACACCAAGTGCCCTCAGTGTCCTCACACACCTTCAAATCAAGGCCCTTCCCCACCCTCGTTGCCCTCCTTTGGACACTCTCTAATGGCTTCAGATCTTCCTTTCACTGTGTCCCCCCAAACTGCCCCAATATTGAGGTGAGTCCACCTCAGGGCAGAGCAGAGCAGGACAATCCCCTCCCTGGTGCCCCAGGACAGGGATGTCCCTCCTGGCTGCCAGGGCACTGCTGACTCAGGAACAACTGGCACCCACCAGGACCCCCGGAGCCCTTTCCCAGCACTGCTCTCCAACCTCTCATTCCCAGTCTGTCCATCCGGGGTTGCCCCATCCCAGGGGAAGAATTCCTGCACTTCCCCGTGTTGAACTTCCCATGGTTGGTGACTCCCAGCCCTTGGATCTGTCCAGGTCTCTCTGCAGGCCCTCCCTGTCCTCGGGGGACTCAGCAGCTCCTCCCAATTCTGGGTCACCTGCCAACGTGCTCCCTGTCCCTTCCAGAGCTGTGTCCCAGTCGTTTGTGACGCTGTCGATGTTCAGGTGCATCCTTATGAACACCCATCAATAACTAAAACCAGATTAATAGCAGTGGCAGTTGGTTAACACACGTGCATTAATCATTTATTAGTTATTAATATGGACTTTGGTACCCTCTGAGAGGTGGTTCAGCATTGTTTATTATGGGGTTTGTGGGGTTGAGGGGCTGAAGGGCTGCAAATCCCAGCAGAGCCCTGGGGGGGAAGGTCTGCTGGAATTCTGGGGCTTCTCTGGCTGGAGCAGGTCTGGAGAGCACAAAGGCATGAATTCTGCTTGTGATGCAGGTGGTCCTGCCATTTCCAGGGGTTTGCCCCCGATTTTGTCTTTTTTTATTGAGGCCCATGAGCGAGAAAAGGAGGAAAAAACCAAACGAGCCACAGAAGTTCCTTTTTTTTAGGTTTTTTTTTTGCTCACAAATACATTTCACATGCTCGTTACATATAAAACTGGGCCAGGTCTGCACTGCCCAAACCTGCCTTTGCTCCCTCTGTGAGGGTCTGTGCCCCACTCCCTCCCCACCCCACCACCCCCCAGGTAAAAAATCCAAACAGGGGGGAGGCTGGTGGGACCCCGGTGGGACCCCGGTAGGACCCCGGTAGGACATGGCATGCACGGCTTGGGGAGCCGGGGGCACCGGGCATGCGGGGGCTGCCAGGGGAGGGAGGGATGGAGGGATGGATGGGGAGAGATGGGCACCATCCCCACCCTGTTGGGGCTGGATCCTGGCAGTGCCACAGAGGTGGGAGCAGTCTGGTGAGCCCCTCAGGGAGGAGGGCTGGGGGCTGCCCCTCTCTCCCCTCGGGGCTGGGGGGCACCCAGGGTGTGGGGGATGTTCTGAGCAGCCACTTGTGCCCCACAAAGCAAAGCCCCTCGGGTGCTCCTGTCCCTGGTGCATCCCCCGGGGTGCCCATGAGGAGATGGGCAGGTGCCTCCTCCAGCTCCCAGCCTGACCATTCCCAGCTGGAGAAGGGACATCCAGGTGGGGGACATGCCTGCAGGAATGGGGACAGAGGTGGGACCTGCAGCAACAAACCCCCGGGGTGCACATGGGAGGAGAAAGAGGAGGAGGAGGAGGAGGAGGAGGAGGAAGCCATGGGCTCTCTGGATCGTCCAGGCCACATCCAGGCTCTTCCCTTCCAGCTGGGCCAGCTCCACTCCTTCTTCCACCTGAAAACTTGTGCCCAGAGGCAAAGCCGGGGCAAAGCCTGGGTAGGGTGGGATGGGAAGGCAGGACCCACCCCCAGGCAGGCCCGGGGACATTGCCCTGCTGCTTCCAGCACCGGAGGGTGCAGGATCCACATGGACACCATGGAGGTGCCAGCCAGGACGTTCTCCCTGAACTGCTTGTTCCCAGCCTTTCCCTGCTTTTCTTTCCCAGGCTGAAGGGCCTCCCTGCACAGGACAAGCCAGGTCCTGCTCTCCCATGGATTTCAACTTTGCAATCCAAAGAAAACAGACCAAAAAGTGCCTTTTGCAGGAATCTCAACCCTTTCACCCCACCACTCCTACAGTGGCTTGGGTGGATTCAAACACATCACCCTCGGGCTGCTCCTCTTGATTTTAATGATCTTGGCCTCATTTTGCCCTTTTTGTCCCTTTTTTCCTGCTGACACCGCCTGAGAGCCTGGCCCTGGGTGGGTTATTATTGCTTGTGCAGGAGCATCCCCAGACTCCCGCGTTGGCAGACGCTGCATCTTAAACCGACAGATGGGAAACTCTCAAGGCACAGCTGTGCCCTGGTGGGTCTGTCCTTGCCAAGGGGCTGGAGGAGACACCCCGGCTTGGCACAACCTCCCCCGGAGCCCCCAGTCCCGCATCGCCCCGGAAGACTTTTCTCTTGGAAATTCATTAAAAAAAAATAAATCATTGGACCAAAACCCCCACCAACACCAAGAAAAGAACCATAAACAACCACCAGGAAAGTTTTCTGAAGAGTCTCTTAAAAAAAAAGAGAGAGGGGGGGAAAAAACCAGGAAGTGGTTTTTTTTCCCGGGCCCAAACGCTGCTGATCTTTTGGCTCGAGAAATGCATAGTTGGTAGCAAAAATTCCAGCTACATTGGGAGCCCCTGGAGCTGGGATGGCCCCTGAGCCGAGGGCTCACCGAGGGCCTCGCAGGGCTAGGACACTGGGGCCATCCCTCCCCAACCCTGAGGTCCACCCAGTTCCGCCCCTGCTGGCCTGTGGCACCTCTGGTGTGTCTCCAGCCACATCCCACCACCAGCCCCGGGATGCCAGCGGTGCTCCCACACCCCTCCCGGCCCCGTCCCGCCGTGGCCGCACCTGGGGCCAGGCAGCAGACAACGCTTCTCCAGGAGAGCCTCAGATCATCTTCATGTTGAATTTCCTGGCCCCTCCCTGGCCCGTGGTGGTGGTGGGCCCGTCCACCTTGCGGAAGGAATACTCCACGGAGAAGTTGTTCTTGTGCTGCCCCCGGCCGCGGCTCCACACGAAGAGCAGGAGGAAGCAGAAGAGCACCACGCCCAGGAAGGTGATGCAGCCCATGGCCGTGGAGACCAGGATGGTCTTGAGGTCCAAGGTAAACTTCAAGAAGACCTGGGTGTCGTTGTGGAAGGTGTCGTTGAAGTCGCTGAGGTACAGGGTGCGGTTGGCGCGGTGGGCGCCGTCGGCCGGGCGCCCCTTCACCGTCAGCGTGGCGAAGTAGGTGTCGTTGCCGCCGGCGTTGCTGGCGATGCAGATGTAGGTGCCACTGTCCTGCACCTGGGTGAAGCGGATCTCCAGGGTGCCCCCGGGCAGCACTGTGGCCCTGCCCGTGCTGCGGGTGGTGATCATGCGGTGCTGGGGGGACACCCAGGCGATGGAGGGTTCGGGCTCCCCATCTGCCCGGCACAGGAAGGACACGGACTGGCCCTCCCGCGCCGTCACGTGCTGCAGCTTCCTATCCCGGATCTTGGGCTTCTGGCAGGTGAAGTACTCGAAGAGCACCGAGTCTGGGAAGTCCCGCAGGGCATTGCCCTGGATCTCGGGAGGGGAGGAGCACATGGGCTGCTGCCCGTCAAAGTTGAGCGTCTTGCGCCGCTGCAGGACCCAGAGGAGGCGGCAGTCGCAGGCCAGGGGGTTCCTATCCACCCGCAGCGTCTCCAGTGTGTTGACCGAGTGGAAGGTGCTCTCCTCCAGCGTGGACAGGAAGTTGCTGGAGAGGTTGAGCAGCCGGATCTGTCTCAGGCCAGAGAAAGCCTGTGGCTCCACGGATACCAGGAGGGCACCCACGATGTGGAGCTCCTGGAGCCGGATGAGGTCCTTAAAGGAGCCCTTCAGCACAGTGCTAATGGGGTTGTAGGACAGGTTGAGGTACCGCAGGTACACCAGGTTCCTCAAGGCGGCGGCGGGCACGGCCGTGATGTTGGTGTAGGTGATGGAGAGCGAGGTGAGGTTCAGGCCCTGGAAGCTGGTGGGGGAGACCTCTTCCAGCAGTGGCCAGTTGTCAATCTCCAGCTGCAGAAGGTTGTAGAGCTTCTTGAAGTTCTGGTCCTCCAGTGCAGAGATGCTGAGGTGGCGGAGCCGCAGCACCTCCAGGTTCTGGAGGTAGGAGAGCGACTCGGCTGAGATGGAGGTCAGGTTGCACTTCTCGATGGTCAGCTGCTCCAGGCCCAGCAGCCCCGAGAAGGCACGCTGGGAGATGTACACCAGGTCGTTGTCACCCACCTCCAGGCTCTTCAGGTTCCGCAGGTCCTGGAACATGTAGTCCAGCAGGATGACAAGCTTGTTCTCGCTGATGTCCAGGAGGGTGAGGTTGGTCAGCTTGGTGAAGACGCCGGGGGGGATGAGCTTGAGCTGGTTCCCCCGCAGCCGCAGGGTCTGCAGGTTGAACAGGTTGCTGAAGGCTCCGGGCTCCACATTGGAGATGATGTTCTCGCTGAAATCCAGCTCCTCCAGCAGCGGGTACGGGGACAGGTCCCCGGGGTTGAGGCAGCGGATGCGGTTCTTGTTGAGCTCCAGGATCCTGGTCTCGGTGGGGATGCCCTCGGGGATGGAGGTGAGGCGCTTGCGGTGGCACACCACAGATTTGAGGTGTGGGGCGCACTCGCAGCGGGCGGGGCAGGATCCCACCCACGGGGGGCTCAGCAGGACCACGTGCAGGGCCAGGACCGGGAGCCAACATGTCATTGTGTGGAGCATCTCTAGGGGCTCACTACCATCCGCCCGTGAGCCTGCCAGGGGAGACACGTGGAGTCAGTGCAGGCTAACAGAGTCCTACAGTCCCAGGTCCCCCACGTGGTCCTCAAACCATGGCCTGTGGGCTGATAAGGTCCCAATTCCCCCAGGAAACCCTCCAGATCCTTTTCTCAGCACCCATTGTGTGTGACCTGGTGATCACGCCCTGTGCAAACCTGGGGTAAATGAGCCTCACTGTGCACACCCCGTCAGGAGAACAGGGAAACGGAGGCAGGGGAGAGGTTTGCCAGAGGAGCCACAGCTGCAGACCCACAGCTCGGCCTCTGCCCCCGGCTCGCCCTGCTCTGTTCCCCCAATGGGGCACACACGGGCACAGGGGACTGTGAGCACCCCGGGATGATGGGGGCACAGACCCCTGGGGCAGTGCAGGAGCAAAGAGCATCCCGGGACAGCACAGACCCCCCGGGCAGTGCAGGAGCAAAGAGATGCCGGCAGAGGCCTTGCAAGCTCGTGACACGGGGTAGGATGCCCCGTCCCCTCCATTCCCTGCCAGGCTGGGCCCTCCTCTCATCCAGCGGCATAAATCCAAGCCCCTCTCTCCCTCCTAAGCCGAGCACCAGCCACCTTCGGACGGGCCTTTTCGGAAGCCCCAAATCCCGGCCCCGGGCTCGTCGCGGTCCCGCAGGACTGGGGACGTTTGGTGTCGCACGTAGGGACTGGTCCTTGTCCCCACACCCCTTTCCCCCTCGGGGGGGGATTAAGGCGGCCGAGGGTACAGTCTTTGCCACCGAGGGATTAACGCCGCGGTGCCCCCGCTGTCCCCCTTTCCCGGGATTAGCACTTGGCCGCCGCTTTCCCTTTTCTTTGCTTCCCCTTTCCCACCCCGTGTCCCCTCCCGTGCCCCAAATCTGCCGGGCTGCCTGGAAAGGCATCTCCCAGCGCCGCTGCAAACACCTCAGCCGCCTCTCCTTAAGGAAACACGGTCATTAACCTAATTAAGCGGCAGAGCTGCTCGGTCGGGGCGCCGTGGGGCGTTTTTGGGTCTGACAAGGGAACATTGGGGTACCTCCAGCCACCCCCGTAGAGGTGCAGTGAGTGGGGCATTGACTCCCCCCCAGTAAGGGGGCCTTTGTCCCATCACTCCCACAGCACTGGGACAAACTGGTGTGCAGCCCCCCGGGGCAGCCAGGCTGGATCCAGCCCTTCAGGGAAGCCCAAACTGTGGCTCTGGGGAGCACTAGACCAAGCCCAAGCCTCCCTCCCACACTCCCTTCTGTCCCTCTGGGCACATCAGGGCCTCCAAATGTGTCCATCACTCAGCAGGACGTGGGGAGGATGTGACATCTGTGGCTGCTCAAGGCCATGGTGGCGTGGCTGCATGTTCAAATCCATCTCAGTGCCTCTGCATGTCCTCATTGCCCAAAAGCATTGCCCAAGGCACTTGGGAACAGCCTTGGGGAGCTGAGGAGGATTATTGATCTCTCTGTGCTCACAGAGGAAGGATGCAATCTCCATGGATGATTTTCTGCCCTGATCCCATTACCCAAGCAAAGCAATTTCTGTCAATAAACCCATTCCCCGGTGCAATTTTGGAACCTGGGAGATTATCTTTTATGGACATGGGGGGCTGAGGGACAAGTGGTGGCCTTGGCAGTGCTGGGGTAACAGTTGGACTCGATGATCTCAGAGGGATCTCCCACCCTCAACGATTCTATTCTATGATTCTATGACACTTTTTTTTTTTCATACACGTCTTAATTTTGCCACACATCCCTTTTTCTTCCAACGAACTCAAACCAACAGGGAAGTGTCACCGTTTCACACAACCACAGGGAAGGGATTTAACAGCACTGGCTTCCCTTGCTGGGGACAGTGGGGTGGGACTGGAGACCTCCCCGCTGCCCCTGCCCCTCCTTCCCCTCTGCCCAGCACTGCTCAGATTCACTCCTTGCACCCAACCGCCCCATCCAACTGGGGTCCCCAAATGCCCCCTGGGGATGTGGCTGGAGCTGCCTTCTAGTGCCAGGAGCCACTTTGTGCTGGTTGGTGGCCCCGGGAACCTGAGCTGGCTCTGGGGTGAGGTGGCAGCAGCTCCTCTGGGTCCTCCTGGTTCTCAAGGCTCTGCTCCTGCTCTGTCACGGAAGGGCAGGATGTGACCAAGCACAACCAGCAAACCCACAGGGAAAACCCTCCCCAGTTTATTGGGACACTTCTTTGTTCTATTTAAATAAATAAATGTGCCCAGGTGCCTCTGCCAGGCTGAGGGTCTCCCCACTGTGCCCCCCATCACTCCCTGCCGGGGGCTGGGGGTTTCTGCCCTTCCCCTCCCTGCCCGAGGCAGCCGAGCACAGCCCAGCTCTGCCCCGTGTTCATTATGAATGAGCCCCGGGTAACCCGACTCCACTTTTGGTTACTACTGCGGCCACCCGAGCCTCTAAGCAAAGGTATGGACCTGCTGGAGTTGTTTTCCCTGGCAGATGGGCAGCGGGAGCCGCAGCCCCGGGCTCACCTCCCTGCTCCGCAGCCACCCTGGCAACCCCCGTCCCATGTCTGGTCCAGGCACCCCCACGGCAGGGGCAGGAATCCTGGCTGCTGGAGTTATCTGCCCTCTGTTTGGGTGGGTTTACCTGTTCCTGCTGGGTTGGATGGACAGTCACTGCCCGGTTATCCATAAAACAGTGGGAAGCTCTAACATTTTGCCGACAGCTGTGGAGGTGGGCGATGGCTCTCGCAGTTTTACTTGGGAGGAGGAACAGGCCTCTTCCAGCCCACAAGGAGGAACAGGAACATTTGTTGTTGCTGGTGCTGGCTGCCCTGGCACCCGTGGGTGCTCTGGTGAAGCCGGGCACAGCCCCAACACCCTCAGCAAACCCCACAGAGGGGATTAACAGGTACTGGGTGAGCCCCTCCTGGCAAATCCAGGGCCATACGAGCTCAGGAGTCAAGGTTGGCTCTGTCTCTGCAGGTCTCTACCAGCCCAGGACACCCTGCAGGAGCTGCCCCAGCTGCAGAGACCCCAGTCCCCTGCAGTGACCCCTGGGCCCCCGGTCCAAGCCGGGTTGTTTATTAATAGCTGGTTACTGCGATAGTCCCGGGCTCGCCTGCTCCCGGGGGGCCAGGCCAATTAAGCCTCCAATGCAAGGCCTAGATAGAGGCTCTTCTCCTCATTTAATTTGTTTTTAAAAATAACACACGCCTGCTGCACACAGGGCTGGGGCACAGAGCCAGCAGAGCCTGGGGCTGAGGGGCTGTGATGGCAAGAACCAGAGCAGAGACACTACGGCCACTTGTGAGCACCTGGAAGAGCCCGTCCCTCCCTCCCTGCCTCCCTCCCTCCCTGCCTCCTTCCCCACCAGGATGTGTAGCCACTGAGCCCATTCTGTCCCAGCAGTGTGGAGGAACTGGTTCTTGGATGATCACAGAATCATGGAATGGTTTGGGTTGGTAAGTGCCATTCTGTGGGAACTGATTCCCATCCCACCCCACCCCTGGAAGTGCCCAAGGCCAGGTTGGACAGGGCTTGGAACACCCTGGGATAGGGGAAGGTGTCCCTGGCCATGGCAGGGGGTGGAACTGGATGGGCTTTAAGGTCCCTTCCAACCTTATTCTGATTATTCTGGGATTCCATGATTCCTGCAGGTGGGATTTCGCTCCTCTCCCCACCTGTTCCCAGAGCAGAGGAGGCAGCACAGTCCCTTCCACCTCCTTCAGACGGCTCCTGCTCTGCTGGCACGTGCTCAGCACCATCAGCTACTCCAAGAGCAGTTGCTCCCCCGCTGCCAATTCTCCCTTTTTCTGAACAAAGGCCACAAAATCAGCCCAGGGTGACATTTCCAGATTCCCCTGCTCGGACATCTCCTGAGCACAAACACCTCAGGCAAAGCAATGCCTTGTTTCATTTCCTCCAGCAGGAGCAAATGGTCCTGCTGAGACCTTCTCCTTCCCAAATCCCACCAGTGCTGCTCCAGGCCTGGGGTACCCCCTTCCTGGGGTGGGGGTAGGCAGAGGCACCCAGGGGAGGTTCTGGGCTCAGTTTATGGGATGCTGCTGCATCTTTCCAGGCATGGGGACCCCGGGGAAGACAGAGATCCCCAAGTAGGGAGGGAGAAAATGGGGCAGCAAGTGCCCCGGGATGGGACTCAAAAGCCCAATGGGGGGGATGATCCCAGCCCTGACACACAGGTGTCAGTGCCAATGACTCATGCCAGTGCCAGCATGTCCCAAATTTGGCACGAGACAGGAAAGGGCTCCTACAAACACCAACAGCAGCCAAGTGCTGCTGGAAACACCCTGGGCACTGCCGGCAGCCAGCCCTGTCCCTGTGCCACCCTCGCTCCCTGGCTGCTGTCCTCAGCCCACACCCGGCTCCCAGCCAGGGGAGCCAGTGCCAACCCTGGCCTGGCTGTGCCAGCCCCCTCACAGACACTGCCAGCCCCGGGGAGGGGGTTTGGGCTGGGCCTGGGGGGGATGGAGCGTCCAGAAATGCCTGTGGAAGCAGCTCGGTGCTTCCCCAGCTCATTTACAGCTGCCAGGACTGGGGGAGAGTTCTGGACTCACCCTCAGCATGAGATCCCTCTGCTCCCAACCCTGGGGTGTGACCTAAACGAGATCTGGATTATCAGGAATAGGAGTAGGAATAGGAATAGGAGTAGGAATAGGAATAGGAGTAGGAATAGGAATAGGAATAGGAGTAGGAATAGGAATAGGAGTAGGAGTAGGAGTAGGAGTAGGACCAGGGCTGCACCAAGTGGGCTTGATGGCTTGTCTGGGACTCCAACCTCCTGGAGCTGCTGGCAGGGGCTTGGGGCAGAGGATGGGCCCCCTGATGCCAGGCACTGCCAGAGGTGGGTGCCAGCCTGAACCCTGGCCCCAGGCCCTGCACAGGGCTCAGGGCAGCCGGAGCTCCTTGAGACTGGACGAGGAGTTCCCAGGGCTGTGCCAAAGCCTGTCCAGACATCTGCTGGCTCTGGGCTTTGCAGAGCTCCCCATCCAAGCCTAAGGTGCCCATCCAAGCCAAAAGGTGCCCATCCAAACC